AGTGGGGCGTAGGGCCGGGCAAGTTGGCTAACTGGGAGGAGCCCAAGCCCAAGGGGGGGGTCCCGGGCCAGGGGCCGTGCTGACCCTCCCTCGCCCCCCCCTGCCTCGCCTTCTCCCTCTCCTCCTCATTCCTCCCACCCCGTTGCGTCAGGCGCTCGTCCGTCGCAGGGAGATCTCGCTCCGCCGCTGCCTCGGCATGCGCGACTTGGCGCGCTCGTCCCTCACGCTGCTCGAGTGTGAGTCGCGGCTGCCGCAGGCGTGGTCGAGGGGCATGGCCCAAGCGACGCGTCCACGACGCGTCCCCGACATGGGCATACGTGTGCCGCAGGCGACGCGCGACTCTCTCCGCGCCGCGTACGACCAGCGCGCCGCCGAGGCGCAGCGCCGGCTCAAGGCGGCGTGCAAGGCGGCCGAGGACGCCGTGCGGGCCTCCTTCGACACGCAGGTCGCGCCGCAGCTGCAGCAGGGCGCCGCCTCCGCCGCCTCCGAGGCGCTCTCCACCGCCGGGGCGTGGGGCATCTCCGTGACGCAGGGCGGGCTGCACTGGGCGACGTACAAGGCGACCACGCGCCGGCACGGCGTCTTCCGGCGCCGATCAGCGACCGGACTCGCAGCCGTGCCGCCGCCTCGTGCGGTGATGCGCCGCCACCCCTGCCGGCAGGCTCAACATGAACGAGGCGCTGACGGCGCCCATCCTCAAGGCGGTGTCGGTGCAGTGGGAGCGCGCCTTCCTCTCGGGCCTCCAGACGACCCTCGACTCGCTCCGCGACGAGGTGCGCGCCGCGCTCGACGCCTTCCACGCCTCCTTCACCGCCGCCCTCGCGGACGCCTCCGTCCCGTCCGCCGGCCTCGGCGCCGCTCCGTGCGACTCGCTCGTGTCGGCGCTCGCCGGAGTCCTGTCCGAGGTGCGCGAGGCGGCGCAAAAGCAGCAGCGCGAGCTCTCGCGCGGCATCGAGCCGATCGTGCAGGGGCGGATGCTGCCCGGGTACGACACCGCCACCGCCGAGGCCGGCACCGGCTCCCACCGGCGGCGCGTGGCCATCCTCGAGCAGCACGTGCGGGCGGAGGCGCCGAAGATGTTTCGTGCGGCCGCGGACGGCGCGCCGTCCGACTGTCGCCGCCGCACCCCCCCCCCCCCCTTCCCCTGCCCTCCCTCGTGGGAGAGCTGTGTGTCGCCGAGAGCTGTGTGTCGCCATGAGCTGTGCGACCGCGCGCGCGCCCCGCAGGCATCATCTCCAAGCTCGAGGAGATGCGAGACGGCCTCGGCAAGACGCTCGAGCGGGAGGTGCTGCAGCGGACCCTCTCCGGGTTGCGCTCCGCCTACGCGCCCGCGTGGGACGAGGTGGGCGAGAGCACGCTGCAGGCGCGCCGCAAGCTCGCGCCCCCCTGCCGCGAGGTGCTCATCGCGGCCAACGACGCCGTCCGCCGGCTCGAGGCGGCGCCTGGCCGTTCGGCCGGCGCCGGCACCAACGGCGGCGGCGGAGGAGGCGGCAACGGCGGCGACGCCGACGGAGGGAAGGGAAGCGACGACGACGAGGAGGTGACTGACGTCACTGACGCGGCACATGCCGCCAAGCGCGCCCGCCAGGCAGCGGACACCATCGATCTCGACGACTTGCCGGCCGACGACTGCAGCGCCATGCCAGACACGGAGCAGCCGCAGGGGGCTGCGCCGGTCGGAGGCATGCCGGTGCGCGTCAAGTCGGAGGGAGCGGTTGCCTGAGCGTGCGGTGGCTGTCCCGGTCCTCGCTTCACAGCTCACTGTACTCTGGTTTGGCGCCTTGTCGCGAGTGTGCTGTGGGTCGGGATTGTTGCCAATGCGCAACGTGGCTCGCTCTCCATGTCCCGCGCCTCAAGAAGTCGAAATCTGAGGTGCTGTTTTGTTCAAAGCCGCACCACCTCTACTCAGATCCGACCTCGTTCGACGGCACCGACCTTTCCCCGATCATGTTGCCAAACAACGGCTTCATGGAGGTGGTAGATCGATTCATCTCGATTCCCGCCATCCCGCGTACCCTCGGCGACATCGCGGTCTCGCGCGAGACGGCGACGACGCAGCAGCGGTCCCGGTCGACGCCCGCGTCGAGTCGGGTGGCAAGGCATTTGGCGCCCTGCGCGCCTGCGTCTTCGCCTCCCCATCTACTTCCAACAAAGCCAAAAAGGCGGTCTACGAGGCGATTGTTCTCTCGACCGTCCTCTACGGCTGCGAGACGTGGAGTTTGACCGAGGAGCTGTCCGGCGGCTGCGCTGCATGCATGCCCATCACTTACGAGCAATGTGCCGGGTGTCGCGCAGCCAGGCGTGGGAGCATCACATCTCGGCCCAAGAGCTGGGACAGCGGCTGGGGTTGGACTCCATCGAGTTCTACATCGCTCGCCGGCAGCTCCGGTGGCTTGGACACGTCAGCCGCATGCCTTACGAGACGAGGCTCCCTCGCCGCTTGCTCTCGGCGTGGGTGCCCCATCGCCGCCCGATAGGCTCGCCGTCCATGACGTACGGCCGCTCCATCTTCAAGGCGCTCGAGATGTTCCGCATCGACAAGACGCGCTGGCCCGAGCTCGCCGCGAACCGCAGCGCATGGCGCGAGACCTTGCGGACGGGCGTTGCCCCGCCAGCCTTTTGGCCGCAGCTCCACCGCCGCAGGCCAAGCCCCTGTCGCGCACAAAGCTCCCGCGCGCAGCAGACCCAAGCCAAGATGAATGAGTCGCTCCGCCGGGAGCGTCTCACATGACAACATACACACACCAGCTGACGCACACACATACATTCATTCATGACTCTCAGTCAGCGCTTTGATCCCAATCACGACACATGCGTGACTCGCCTAGTGTGGAAACGCCGTGTACCGTGGGGCCTTGTTGTCCTAGCACGGGAGGACCCGTGTGGACCGGAGGTAACAGCAGCAGCAGCAGCAGAACACCTCCATCCAAGATCCCTGCCGCCCCTCTGCCCGCGGGGGTCGCACCGGGCGGGCTGCACACGTGCACATCCACGCGATCTATATAGACATCGTACATGCCGTACAGTACAGATGTACAGGCCGCTACGGAGACGCAGCCCAGTAAATGAGGAGGACAAGTTTTTAATCGTCAAATGCTTTTCTTTCCACTCTCGACATGTTACACGCATCCCCGGCAGAGCGGGCCGATAGTATGCGTTGCGCAATTGGCATGCCCCGCCAGCACGTTGTCACTACTAGAGGCGCAACACGACTGACAAGTTGGACATGAAGACCGGGTCTTCACGCGGGACAGCCGCGCAAAGGGGGTTCCGCCAACGGAGTGCGGGCGACAACGGGCGGGGTGGATAGCAAGGCTACCCTCGCACACACACCCTCGACTCGCGATATGTGTCCGCCACAGTGTCCTCTCGTCATATGCAAATCGACAGAGCGGCTCCTTCTTGGCCGAGCGGCTCCTTCTTGGCTCTGGGAGCTCCCGCTAACGCGGGCGCTTCACTTTAGTCGAGCTGATCCAGGAAGCCGGACTCCTCGATCACGGCACACGGCGCCTCGATCTCTTCCTCCGAGTCGCTGACGTCGAAGTCCACAAACTCCGAGGCCGCCACCGCCGCCGCCGCCGCCGCCGCCGCCGCCGCCGCCGCCGCCGCCGCCGCCGCCGCCGCGCCGAGCCCCGCGAGTGCGGCAGCAGCCTCGCCGAGGTGAGCCCCCGACTCCTCTTCCTCCGGCTCGTCCTCCGAGACTTCGTCCCACTCGTCGTCCTCCGGATCCTCCCACTGCTGATTCTCCTCCTTCTGCCCCTCCTCCTCCCCCTCCGCCGCACGTACCATGTACGGCGGAAGTCCGTCGGGAACGCTCCCTCCGCGAAGCGACGAGTAGGCCGCGTAGGCGAGTAAAGAGGGACCGACGGCGGGCGGCAACGCGTCGGACGGCGGCGATGGCGGCAACGCCTTTGATGGCGGCAAGGCGGCGAGGCGGGAGATGGCAGTCGCCGCTGCGCTGGCCGTCGTCGCCGCCAGCTTGGTGGCAGCGTGACACTTCTCCTCCCCCTCGCGGATCGGCAGCGACCCCGGGAAGAAGGTCGATTTTGCTTTCAGAAGGCCGAGGAGCTCACGCTCAGCTGCAGCCGCGGCGGTGATGGCGCAGCTCGACCACGCCTCCGCCTCTCGCTGGTACCGTCGTGCGAGTGCGTCGCGGTCGGCCGGCAAGGCTCCGGGCCAGGGCACCTCTTCGTACAGCGGGTGGGCGAAAGGCTCGGCGTTCTCCGCCCGCGTGTCATCGATCACAGCAGGTCCGCTGCCGCCACTGCCGCTCCCGCACTGAGGTCCGATGAAGACGAGTGAGCCCCAGGGCGAGCAGGAACGGTGCTGCCAGAGCAACTGACGCTCGACAAACGGTGGAGGCGGCGGCTCGAGCTCGGGGCCGAGGGAGGGCAACGAAGAGGGCAACGAAGAGGGCAACGAAGAGGGCGAGGGACGAACGTTGTCGTTGAGAGACGCAGTGAGGGCGGCTCGAAGATTCGCCTCCTCCTCCTCGCGGGAGCGTGGCGCGTGTAGGCCAGGGTCGTAAAACCCTGCGCCCCGGTGGCGCCCCCAGCCGCCGACCTCGCCCCGAAAGCGCTTCTTTTGGTACGAGGTCTCCCTGCGGCCATCGCGGTCGACATGGCGAAGCAAGGCGGAGCGCGCCGCCCTGCAACCGTTCTGAGAGAAGCGCGTGCGCTCCTCGTCGTCGGTAGTGCTGAGGCCGTCATCGCAAAGGTACCCGCGCCTCCGCCAGTCCACACCGAACCCCTGCAGGTGCTTGGCGCGCGGCCGACGCTGCCGCTTACGTTCCTCGTCCATCGGCCGACGCGTCACCGGCTGCCGGCGGGTTGCGGGGCGCGAGAATAAGCGCGAAGGCGGCAGACCTAGCCCGTGTGAAGTGCGCGCTCGTACGCAGCACGCGCATCTCAAGCGCCTAGCCGCCCGGAATGACACTCGAGCGCCTTTTTTTTGCCGGATCATTGGACGCCGACAGGAATGGCTCGCCGATACGAGGGTTCGGGTTTATTCCACCGCGCATAACAGTGAAAGGAATAGCAGGACCCAGGGTGGGCGGGCGGTCGGTCGGTCGATCGGTGCGTACCAACCAAACCACGAACCAACCATACATACATACATACTCGAGTACCAGCCAGGCCAGCCAGCAAGCAAAGCAAGCAAAAAAAAGCAAAGAAGCATAAAAGCTAGTATGGGCTGGGGCTGCTTGGGGCTGGGGAAAGACGCGGAATGAGGCGGACGGAGATGCGAGGGCGTGTAGCCGGAAGTGTTGATGTGGGGGTGGAGGCGGAGGTGGATGCGTCCCAAACTTTGGTCGGGACAGAGCAAGCCGCACCGCGGGCCGGGCCCCTCCCCCTCTCAATCCCTCGAAGATGGCCTGGTGGACGCGCCTACGCGCCATGCTCCCCTCAGGCCCGCCGGGGCCGCTCTTCCACAGCACGATCCTCTGCTGCCAAACCGGAGGCCTCACCTTTGGCATACGCACCTACCTGAAGGAGGGCGACCGGCAGCGGCTTCAAAAGGCAGAGGCGGCGGCCGTCGAGGACAGCCGGCGCGCCGACGCCGCCGCGATGCACGCTCTCGACAGAACGGCCGCCTACTTCAATGCGCGGCGGCCCGAGCGGATGGTCCTCGAACTCGAGGCATACCGGATGCGGAAGGAGCCGTCCAGCCGCTCATGGAATGGCTGGGGCTCTGGCGGCGGCGGCGGCTCGTCACCGGCTGGCTGGGCCGACGCCTGGCTCGAACGACGCGTGGGGCTCGACGAGGAGGCGATGGCGATGGAGGGGCACCGCGTGGAGCTCAAGAACCTTTGGTTCCTAGCAAAGCAGGCGTGGGAGGGGCATCCGGCTCAACGCGAGCTCATGCGGGACTTCTTCTTCACCGCGCCGCTCAATCATGCCCTCGCGGTGCGCTGCCTGCGGCTACTGGAGCCGATGGACGTGGCGCGAACCCGCCGACGCGGGATGGACTATGAGCGGCCCTCAATTTATCCGTGGCTGGCCGATATGTATTGCATCGGCGACCAGCCGGCGGGGCCGCTCGGGGGCTCTAAACACGCGGCGGAGAGGCGCACACCATGGTGGTTTATCGACGCACGGCGCGGACAGAACCGCGCGGTGCTGTGAGGATACCACCTCGTGCACAGCACCACGCTCCACGGTGTCGGTGTGCTTGTGTGAGACCCCGACGATAATGAGGATCTTGTTGGGCCAGCAGCAGCACACGCTCGGTGTAGGGAAGGTAGTCAAGAAAAGACTGAGCCCTGGCTGTCAGGCTGTCAGGTGCTGTCAGGTGATCTGTCGGGCTGTCGGGCAGCTGTCAGGCACTGTCAGGTGCCTCTGTCAGACCAGCTGTCAGGTGCTGTCAGTGCTGTCGGGTGCTGTCGGGTGCATGTCTGACAGGCGAGGGGTTCTGTAGCTGTCAGGTGCTGTCGGAGCTGTCGGGTGTTGCTGTCAGACGCTGTCGGAGCTGTCAGAGCTGTCAGGCTGCTGCTGCTGTCAGACGGTGGGCTGTTACTGTCAGGTGCTGTCAGGTGGTGCTGTCGGGGTGCTGTCAGGCTCTGACACACACCAGCCACACTTATGACACTATCAAGAGGAGATCAAGCAGGACTCTACTACACATACATACTCTAGCCTCTACTCTGCCTCCGGTCCCACCATCTTTTTCATGGTGGACGTCACCATCTTCTTGTCTGCCGCACTGAGAGAATAGCAGAGAGGCAGGGTGGAGTGCTTCTTCAGGTACACCTTGCTGATGATCTGGTAGTTGCTGGTCCAGCGGAGGCCTCCCCATCGTTGTCGCTCGTCAGCTTGTAGTACTTGCACGCTCTGTTCTGGTAGCGCGGGCCGTCTGGGGGGGTCCTGTCACCCTTCACCTCACGGTACCACCGGAGGATAAAGAGGCCCTTGGGGTCGTTGATGAAGACCCCGTTGCTGCGCTGACTCATGGAGAGCTGGCGCAGGTACTCTGCGCTGGAGCTGCCAGTGGCGCGGCGCGCGTCTACTGTGCCGTCGGCGACGGCCACCTGCTCAATGTTGCCGATGGCAAAGACCTTGGAGCTGTCCTTGGAGACGGCCACCCCCACCCAGACGCCGTAGGCATATGACTGTAGGGCCCCAGAAGGCTAGCTGGTAGCTTCATTTGTAGTAGCACAGCCGCCGGTGCTAGAGAGGGATCCGCAGAGGTGGCGGGCGGGAGGGTTGAGAGAGAGACCCATGACCATCCCATGACTACATGGACATGGACCACACTCACATGTCTTTGCATGTAACTTTGTTATACCCTCAATGGGGCACAAGAAAGAGGCTCTACGGGGTCTGTGTACGGTCTGTGCTGCTGTCGGGCTGTCAGGCTGTCAGCGCTGCTGTCAGGCCACTGTGTGCTGTCGGGCTGTCAGGCAGCTGTCAGGCTGTCACGTTAGGGCCTGACAGCGACGGAACCCCTCGCCTGCCAGACTCTGCTGTCAGGCTGTCAGACACGTGCTGTCAGACTGTCAGAGAAAGTGCTGTCAGCGCTGTCAGGCTGTCGGGCACTGTCAGGCGCTGTCCGGGGGTTGCTGTCAGGCTGTCAGACCAGGGCTCAGAGAAAAGAGCTCAAATTTATGCCCCAAAATAGAACGTCGAAGGAGCGCACACTGCACACATAGCACAACTCACCCCACACACAAAGAACCCTGCACAAAGATCGCACGGGCGGGGACCTGTTCCTTTTTACCCAACACAGTAAGGTGTCCGTTTTTATTTATTTATTTAACAAAGGAGCACACGTTTCTAATAGAAGATGTTGCACGCTGTCGCCCCCCCCCTTCCATCCCCGGAATCCTTACCCATCGAGCACGGTGTACGAAATCCGCGTCACCTTGCCCTTCCCCTTGACGGCCTCGACCTTGACGGCGCCTACAGCGGAACACGCACGCGGCGGGCTGTGGCGGCGAGACGGCCGAGAATGCGCTCCTCCTCCCGCATCGGGCGGCCTAGCTCCCTCGTGTCTGCGACGTGCGTCCCTCCGCACGGGCAGACCATGCCTCCCACCCCGACCACACGCACCCACCCCTTGCCCCAAAGCGCCGGGTCGGACGGGATGGTGTTGGGCGAGCAGTAGTCGCCCAGCGCCGTCGCGTCCACCGTCTGCACCGTCGAAGGCACCGCCCGCGCGATGAGCTCATCCATCGCCGCCTACGCGCGAAGCCTCCCTCAGCTTCCGCGAACCTTCCGGGAAGCGGCGGTGTGTGGATGGCCGGTCGGCCGCCTGCAGCTTCGGCAGCAGCGCCTCTCGCTCGCTCGCCTCGAGCTTGCCCTCGTACTCGACGTACGCGCCTGCTCGCAGCAGCGAGGGGCGTTGGGCAGCACGCCGCGGACACACACCATGGAAGCAAAGACGCGCCACCGCCGCCCTCGCCGCCGCCACTCTCACCGCCCTCTCCACCGCCACTCTCACCAAACCCGTTCCCCGCCGCCGCCGCCGCCGCCGCCGCCCCCGCCGCTGCCGCGCGCCTGGCGTGAAGTGGTACCCCTTGGTCGGCCTCAACGTGCTGCCCGCCTGCGTCATCGCCACGTCGATGAGGTGGCCGGCAGAGTGGACCCGCGCGTTGTACCTGCGACGAGCAAAGAGGCGCTGATCACGGGTGAGGACGGCGTCTCCCAGGCCGCGCCGCACGGCGCCTCCTCGGCGGCTCGTCCACCGCCAGCGACACAGTGTCTCCTGCTCCAAAGTCGGGCGCTGGACCGCCTGGCTCGCCGTCGTGCCTCACGACGCCCTCGCCGTCCTTCTTGACCATGCGCACGGCCCACGCGGCGCCGCCGCCGGCCCGGGTGAGCGTACCCGTGTCGGCCGGCTGCCCGCCGCCCTGCGCGTGGAAGCAGGTTTCATCCAGCACTACGGCCCACCCGCCGCCGCCCGCCTTCTCGCCCACCTCCAGCACAGTCGCCTCGGCCGTGAAGAGGTACGTGTCCGCCTGGTAGAGCAGTTTGGTCGCAGGCAGCGCGCCGCCACCTCCGCCGGCGGCGACTGGCGGCGCCGACTGCTTGACGGTCGCGGCAGGGGCCTTCGTGGGAGCCTTGAAGTTCGAGGGTTGACTGACGTGCAGCTTTTGGAGAGACACCGGCCTCCCACCCGACGCCACGCCGATGAGCTCGTCGAGGAGGAAGATGCTGCGGCCAGGCATGAAGCGAGTTGAGTTGCGAGGAGAGCCGTACCGCGAAAATGCGTGCAAAAAAAGAAAAACGCACGCCCTGGTGCGGCCGCGGGCGGGCGGGCTCGCCGGGCTGGGCGAAGCTCCGAGCGGGTCTTCGAGCTCGCCGCCCGCGAGGAGCCAGCATGGCTCGTCGCTCGACGGGAGCCTGCCCAGCATGCTCTGGGCATTCTGTTTTTCTGTAGAGTACAGCCTCGCCGAGCTGTCTGGGAAGGCCTACAGAGACAGGGCGGGCTGCCTCGGGCGCGATGGCGCGCTGAATAGTACCATGACTACGAGCTCTCGATCGGGTCGCCGGCAGCGAGCTTGCGCGGCGTGCTGCTCGACGGCAGGCTGCTCCCCACCCTTTCCCAACAGTGTCTTTTACCTCGCTGCTCTCGCTGCAACCGCCTGCGGGGGCCGGCGCCGGCCGCCTCGCTTCGCCAGCGCTGCCTACGCCTACGACACGCGCATCGGCTCGCCGCCCGCGTCGCCTGCGGCGGACCCGCGTGGCGCGACGCTCGTCGGGAACGTGCTCAGCAGGCTGTGAAGCGCAGCCTGACTCACTCAGAGCGCCGCTGATGCGGCGTGGGACCGCCGGCGGCACTGCTGCCGCGCACGCTGCGCTGTGGGCGTCACCATCGTGTCCTCGCCGCGTCGCCGACGCCACTTGCGGCTCGCGGCTGCCCTGCCCTTCCCTGCCATCGCGCAAACAAACACACACACACACACACGCACGCACACACACATTATTAATCATCGGGTAATAATTATTAATTATTAATCATCGGGCGGCGGCGCGGCGCGGCGGCGGGCGGCGCGAGGCGGCGGCGCGGCGAGGCAGCGGGCGACGCAGGGCGGGGCGGCGCGGCGGCGGGTGGTATAATTACTTATTAATTAATTAATAATGAATTAATAATCATCGGGCGGCGGGGCGGCGCGGCGGCGGGCGGCGCGGAGCGGGGCGGCGAGACCATCTGTACTGAACGGGCCAGCTAGCTGGTCTTTGAGTCAGCGCAATGGTCGCGCCGCCCTCGACTCAAGGGGCTGCCTTCCACCCGTCGCTGCTCAGGCCGGGGGAGGGGGAAAGATCTCCTGTTCCGCGGAACGGGAGAAGGCCCCTCCTTGCCCGGTCTGCGATATGCAGGGCGGTGGTCGTGCCATCTTCGCTTCGTACACGCAACCACCACGCCGCAATCGTCGCCGGCGCGCGACACGTTCTCGTCAGCAGGACTGTCCTCGTCGAGTGTGTGTCGCCAAGGCGAGACACACTCAGGGACGGAGCCGACGGGACGCGGCTCGAAGGGCGTGGCTCCGCAGCGCGGCTGGCACTCGTCGCAGAGGCCTCGCCTTCGAAAAGTCGGGCATGGCTCTACCCGCAACTTTCTCGCTAACACGCGCGCACCGCCGAGCCTGCGGTGGGCGCGCTGCGGCCGCACGTCTAGGACCTCGCCGCAAAGTCGCGCGCTGACGTGCGCGGGCTGGTGGCTCTCCTCGGCCGCTTGGAGACCAGGCTCGACTCGCTCACGCCCGCCTCCGATTTCCAACTGCCCCCCCAGCGCCGGCCTAGCGCTGTCTCGGCGGCAGGGCCGACAAGCGGCGCATCCTCGAGGAGGTCCACACCAGCCTCCTCGCCGCGCCGCAGCCCGTCCCGAGCTGCCGCTGCGCCCGCCGCCGCGCCCGCCGCCGCTCCCGCCGCCGCTCCCGCCGCCGCGCCCGCCGCCGCGCCCGCCGCCGCGCCCGCCGCCGCGCGCACCACCGAGAATATGGAGGAGGACGAGGACGTGGATGACGAGGGGGAGGAGGAGGAAGGGGAGGAGGAGGATGGGGAGGAGGAGCGGGGTGGGGGAGGGTTGCTGTCAGGCGTACCAGCGGCGGGCTGGCCGGCGACAACTGGGTTGATGGCGAAGACGGCCAAGGAGATCTTCGTCGAGTGCATGCAAAAGGGCGGCGTTCCGACCGGCCTTACCGCAAAGCAGAAGAACCGCGTCAACACGATCTTCGAGTGGTTCAGCAGCATGGCAACCAGGGAGGAGCTCGCGGCTCTCTCGCCCTCGGCTACCGACTTGGGGGGCGCGAGGTGTCCCCTACTTCACACCAGCAGGCCTCCCCCCTCCTCCGCCATTTTACTAGTCGCTTTTTTGTCAGGATCATCGCTGCGAGGCTGGACGCGCTCATCAAGGCGCGATTTGCCAAGCTCTACAGCGACAACTGGGAGGCTCGCAAGGAGAAGGGGCCGAGGACGCAGAAGGTCCCGCTCTCGCTCCAGGCTGCCAAGGGACCTCTCACCTCCACCGCCCTCAGCACTGCCATCGAGAACCTCGGCAGCCACAGGACTGGGCTCTTTGAACCCGCTGTCAGTTTGGTGCAGCTCACGCTCGTGTTCTGCTCGGGCTTGATGGACTCTCAGGTGTCGTGTCTCCATGCATAGGTGGGTGTGCAAGGGCGGGAGGCGCTGCAGGCTTGGAGAGTCGGGCGAAGCGGCCCTCTCGAGGCTGTGGACGATGTGCGCCCACCGGCGCCCAAGCGCGCCCGGCCCGCCGACAGCGGCCCAGGCAGCTCGAGCGGCAGCTCGAGCGGCAGCTCCGGCGCAAGCTGCTCCAGCGCCCCCTGCTCCGGCGGCATGTTCGCCTTCTTTCGGCGGGGGAGTTAGCGCTCTCACTGCCGACAGGGTGCGCGCCGCCCATGCAGCCTGGCTCATTCCCGGCCTCCTCCCTTCCGCCTGGCGTTTTCCTCTCCTCATTCCTTGTCTTCCCTCCGCGCAGGTGCCTGCACGGTCTGCGCTGCGGCCCCTGCCTGGCCGCGCCAGCGCAAGCCCTGAGGGCTGGGAGGGCTGGCGAGAGAGGAGAGGAGAGAGAAAGGAGAGAGAGCGTGTCTAGTGTGTGTGTTACGTCTATTCGAGACCGCGCTGCGCGCGGTCCGCGGTGCCCCGCGCTGCGCGCGGTGCCGGTCGGGTACCCTCGGAACCCTCGGAACCCTCGGGATGGCGCCCGAGCGCGCTGCGCGCGCTCGCCGAACCCTCGACACCCGGCGCTGCGCGCCGGGCGCGCTGCGCGCGCATGTCGAAGGTTGGGGCCCGTGACGAACCCTGAATTTTCCTACATACATACATGCGGAATCGGTAAGTGGGCGAGGCTCTAGCTTGCTCCGATGATCCGCCGATTCCAGCTGGTACGCCGGCAAGTACGCGGGCGAGGCGGCGGATGATCGGGGATCAGCGGAGAAGAAGACTGGCGAAAAGGTGGAGGAGGAGGCTGCGGAGGAAGCGGCGGAGGAGGCGGCGGAGGAGCAGCGGAGGAGGCGGAGGAGGAGGCGGTCGAGACGTGGTGGTGGACAGGCCGCGACGGGGCTTTGAACAAAAATAACCTTACAGGCAGATTTGTGTGTGATTACAGCGCTCCAACATGCCCCGCGTGAACTTGCCACGTCGCAAGGCTCGGACGTCCCCATCTCCGTCCTTGGCCCGAGTTCCTGTCGATATGTCGGAAAAGAGCACGCTTCCCAGCCCGCTGCGGTCTCGTGGCACCCTGAGCGACGACACCCCGGCGTGGCTGGTCGACGCAATCGCGGATCAGTCCAGCGGACGCCCGGCTGCACTGCGCTCGCCAACCCGCTCTGTGCGCCTCTCCGCATTGGAGGACGCTGCTGCCGACGACGAGCCAGAGTGGTTGGTGGATGCCGTCGCGGTGGTGCGGCGCATCCGAACCTCCTTCAGCCGGCGACAGCGCGAGCGCGATCGGCGAGAGGCGGCGATGGAGTGCAAGCCCATCGCCCGCTGCTCCAGTGGCGGGAGCAGAGGTAGCATCAGGCGCAGCGCGGCCATGCGAGGCCGGGGGACGCCGAGCGGCTCGATCGAGTCGAGGCTATGGCTCAGGTCCGTTCTCCGCAGTGTGTGCTGCTGTTGACAGCTCAGCATAATTATGTCAACTCGGATCAGCCTGCCGCCCGACTAAAACTGTTATGTCTCACTGTGCATCGCGTGCGTTTTTGAGGAAGCGTGTCGTGGGCCGGAAGACTCGGAGGAGGAGGAAAGAGGTAGGTCTCGGTTTTGAGGGATCCTTTCAGCTAGGAGACTATCCACAATACCGACTCACAAAAAGTCTACACTGCCTCACAGCTCGGTCATGTCAATGCATGCCGCCTCGGCGTCGGGCGGTGGTACAAACTTTCGAAACGGCGCCTCTCGCACACAGGCGCGGCCGTGTCGCACTCTGCCACCCCGAGTTCTCAGCGCAAACGGCAGCCCCTCGCCCTCAGCCTCGTCCTCCTCCTTCGCCTGCTCCGCCTCGTGCCTGTACCACGACTGCCGCGAGTACCAGGGCTCGTCGGCCTCGGTGATGTCGTCGGGCGGCGGGAGAGGCGGCGTCCTGGCCACCGGGGCGGTTGCGGCTGTGCGGCGGCTGCGCCCGCACTGGGGTGCTGGCTTGCCCCTCTCTCCCGCCGCCGCCGCCTCGCGGAGCAGCGACCGCTCCCAGCACCAGAAGCAGCACGCGATGAGAAGGCAGAGCGCCGCCGCCGCAAGCGGGCTGATCCAACGCATGGGCGGGTCGGAAGCAAAGTAGAGCTCACGGCGGTGCGGCGCGGCCGCGGGGCTGGGCATTTGCGGGACACGCCGTCGGGTCGCAGGCAGGTGTGCGCTTTTCGAGGAGCGCCCGCCGTAAGTTTAGGGATTGCGGCCTGGCGAGGTACTCCCACGCCTCTCGGGGCGGCAGAGAACGCAGAGAAGAGGGAGATAGTGGACCGACGGACGTACGGACACATGTGTAAGAGCGCGCACGAGTGGGTGTGCGAGCAATATCGAAAGACAGTGAGGCCAGGATCGCACACGGCAGGGGTGGCGGGACGGTTGTGGAGCGAAGTGGCAGTAGCCAGCCTCAAGCATCGATGGGATAATAAGATGAGATTACCGGACGAGAACGGGGGGAAGGACAGGCGGGCGACATTTGACGACGTCGGGGATCACAATGTGACGACCAAAACGATCTTGGGGGCCA